GTACAGGCGTAGTATGGGGTCTCTCCACTTCGCTGGTGGTTCCCCAGTGTTAGTTTGACCATGCGCGGATACCACTCCATTATCCGCTTCGTCCATTTATTATCTCTTAAAGAATCATAAAATTGGGTTGAATTTCAGATGCTTCGAACGAAACGAGAAATTCGTGCAGGCCGAGAAAGATGCCTTCGATTATTTCATCAATACGCGGCCAAATAAGCCTGCTGAACTTGTTGGTAAGGGCATTTCTTTGATTCCATTTGTTACGGTACAAATGCTTTAACGGGCAGAGGACGGATTGAGGCCTGTACGATTGGAGGGATGTTCCTGTGAGGGTGCGGAGTGCACTCACCTAAACTAACAAACAATGCTTTATTCTTTTAAAAAAAGCATACACAAACAGAAACAAAGTAGGAAGCGCAGAAGATTCGGCAGCAGCTCCATTCTATCTCCTCGCAATAATCTGACACCAAAAAAAAAAAGAACAAAACTCCATTTCATTTCTAATCGCATCATTATATGTCACGGAGTGGGGAACACGAGTCATGAAACAGGACATTTGCATATCACATGAAATCGAAGGGCAACCGGGCAAGACGAAGGAGTTTAGCCGCCAGCTTCGTTTCCTTGCTGTTAACACCTTCTTCCTTTTGCAACAATACATTTAAGCGGCCATTTGGTGCATTAGAGTTTGACTTTGCCATTGGTACATCAATCCCGCCTGCGGCTGTTTTATTCATTTCGTTAGTAAACTGATATTAGCGTTTGCTGGAGATTCAGACTTATCACCAGTTTGTTTCTAAGTAATCCTCGAAGAAATAGACTGTCGAGAAACTTGCCAGCTGGTGATTGCTTTTGGCACTTGTTACCAGTCCGGCCAGTCTCGGATGCCTTGATTTTCCGTAGAGAGTTGATAGTTTTGATTTCTTAATTCCCACTTCAGTCCAGGAGAGAAGCGGAGGTGATAAGCGGTCTACTTTTTGCTTTGGGTTAAGGCACTGTTTTATGGCATCTGTTATGGTACTTCTTTTATGTTGGTTCGTAAATAAATGCGTGTATGTTTTAGCCAAATTTGTGGATAGCAAATTACGTTCGGGCAACAAGGAATCAACGGAGGAAGAGCTGGAAACTCTTATGGATGATGTGATCATGATCTTCAGGTTTGTACAGGGTAAGTGCCGCAACAGTAGTATTGCTAAATTCTTTAACTTAATTAATTTCCTCTCATTCTTTCGTCACTCTTTCTAACATTCATAAGCTGATTTTTTTCAGGAAAAGATGTTTTTGAGGCATTTTACAAGAAAGATCTTGCTAAAAGATTACTGTTGGGACGGAGTGCATCCGTTGATGCTGAAAAATCGATGCTTTCAAAATTAAAGCAAGGTTGGTTGTTGTCATCGTTATAGTTTTTTTAAATTATCACGAAAATTCCATCGTTAGCTTATTTGGAATACACTACAGTTATGCTGTTTGTGATTATCTCCTTTAGTCGTCAATGGTCGAATTTCCTCTTCATATTTGCCGTTTACGAAAAGCAAATGTACTCGGAAATAGCTGGAGTTGTAGCATTTGCCAAAGTAACATATTAGTTTTCGCGGCTGTCGATGGCTCCCTCTTTTTTGAGTTATTTACAAGCGAGCTAATGGCAGGTTTGACTTCCCAGTATGCGCATTACCTGTTGCATCATGATTCCCTCCTAGATAGGGCATGTATAATGGTACGAAGCTGCTTGTATAAGGCCGTTGTTTCTGTGTTAAAAGTGTTATGTTGTGTTGTGCTGGCGGCCCTGACGGCCAGCGAATAACGCGGACCCTCCTAGCCCGAATCATCATCAAGGAAACGACGGCCCAGCCAACGATCCGAGGGGGCACTGGAGCATCGGGCCAGCGGACTAGGCCGCCAAGGTCTCAACCCAAAAGTACCAGCTGACCACTGAAATGAATATACGATTGGTGGAGGGGAAATTCGACTGTCTTCGCGTTTTGATCGATCCAAGGGAACTGAATAGCACCGTGTCTTTGCCTGTGTTT